GGATAATGAAGGTGTCATGATGAGTAATTATAGATTGCAATGAAATGTCATGGAGAGAGCTTGACTTCTGTATTCATAGAGTAGATTTCTTTAATAATTATGAATCATCATTCAAGGTGGTTTTGATTGGAACCAGATAACATTAAATGATGTTAGAAAAAATATTCAAATATGACAGAATAAAGTATACATATACATTTATTTTTATATATCAAAATATTAATCAAAGGGAAATATTTACAATTTCGACTTAAATATTAATTTTTTATTTTCAGAGATCAGAATATGAAGTGGTTTTATGTTGTTTAATTTTGTTTTTATTACACAAGAAGTTTGACACTTTTAAAAGAAAAATCATAATGCATGCAAACTCACTTGCCATTATTATTTTAAGAAGTGCTAGATAGATAGCACAAGGATTAAGGAGAATACCTTTCATACAATTTCACCTGTTTAGTCAGGACCCCAGAAATATTGCTGATATGGTTAATGTAAGCACCAGTGCCACAGGTCCCTGACTACAACACATCCTGGAACTGCAGAATCACTGAGATTGGATCCTGGGTAACCTGAATACATCTTGGGAGTCCATTTCTCATGAAAGAAGAAGAAAATGGAGGAGGAGGAGGAGGAGGAGGAGAAGGAGGAGGAGGAGAAGGAGGAGGAGGAGAAGGAGGAGAAGGAGGAGGAGGAGGAGGAGGAGGAAGAGGAGGAGGAGGAGGAGGAAGGAAGGAAGGAAAAAAGAAGGTAAAGGAAGAGGAAGAAAGAAGGTAGAGGAAGAAGAAGGAGAAGAAGGAGAAGGAGAAGGAGAAGAGAAAGAGGAAGAGGAAGAGGAAGAGGAAGAAGAAGAAGAAGAAGAAGAAGAAGAAGAAGAAGAAGAAGAAGAAGAAGAAGAGGAGGAGGAGGAGGAATTATATATTATAGATACATATAGGTTTAATTTTGGTAAATATGAGTTAGTCCCTTTATAATACTATAATTTAAGATAAAGGGTAGCTATAGAAAATGTTAACCTAACAGTATTCCATAATGATGTGCACTAATTTTGATCTTTGTTATTAGGAAAAACTTAACAGAAAAAAATGCATAAAAAACAGGCTAAAATTTATTTTTAAAAATGCCCTGCCACAGAGGCAGGATGGAATTGGGGGGATCAGGGATGTGGAGGGATACTGGGATTAGTGGTGGTGGATAATAGGTACTGGTGGAGGGATAGGTACTTAATCATTGTATAACTGAAACCCAAGCACAAAAATTTGTCAGTCTACAACTATACCTCATGGTGTTTCACTAATAAAATTTTTTAAAAAAGAGCAGCAAAACTATATTAAATTATTTGATATTTGTGCAATAAAAATAGTCTAAAATTTATTAAAAAAAAACAGGAACTAAGAGATTCACTGTTTCAGAATCACATCTCTATAACTTGCTCTAAACATAAAAGTGCTTATATGCTTAATCTTCATAACTCCACTTTATTTTCTATGAATTCAGAACATAAAACTTACCATGTCAGGTGATTGTGAGTGCTAAAATATCTATTCTCTATAAAGAATGATGTCTAACATGTAACTGCTGTAAAATCAAGCAGAGAGAGCATGTCAGATGATAAACAGTTTATTCTCTTATCCTTGAAATGTTTATTTAGCCACTATTTATTATTTGGGTGGTTAAAACATATTTCTCACCAGCACATATTGAACAGCCCTTTGGTAAAAGTTGTTCCTTTAATAAAAGGTAATAATTTTATAACTTAAATATGACCATCAAGCACAGTAACTAGAAAAATCAAAGGTATTTTAAACAATTAGGAATCTTCAAAAAGGGAAAAAAGACTTATTAGGCATAACAGCTATCTCCAGAAGAGAAAAGCAAATAAAAAATATGCAATCAGATCTAAGTATCATAATTCAAGATAAACTATAAGAAGGAATATATAATGCTAGAAATAACACTCCAAAATAAAGCCCAAAAATGTTGGATATTGTCAAATCTCTTCTACTGCTGATAGGACTAGTTCAGATACCCTAACTGAGTTGACACCACAAGGTAAAATACAACTCATATTAAAGGAGTGAAAATGTAGGTATTTCAAAAGGATGCACTGTCTTATAAAGAATAAGTTGTGTCACTCATTAACTTATTTTGCATTGACTGCAATGTTATCAAATGAATTATATTGTAAATGTCAGGCTTGAAAACATTTTTAGGTTTATCCTAACAGCATAGAAATTTCAAAAGTCTCCATTGTTGTATAGTAAGTAGCTGTAAATATACTAATAGTAGGAGACACCTAGGAAACCTCAAGAGAGCAGGAAAAAATTTTAATTGCAATTGTTACCCATCCATGATTTAATGGGAAATTACTGCCTACATGATGAAACCATCAATCACAAGTTCAAAAAAGTGTAACATAGGTGTTAAATGTTGAAAATGTCCCCATTTAGGGAACAGTGAGAAATTATGTATTACAAAGTCATGGCCAATAGATTTGGGGAAAGATCTAGTTAAAATTCAGCACATGTATGTTAATGGTAAAGTCCTTTACTATACCACAGTTTCCTTTTCCAGCAAAAGACAGATCAAACTTGTTCTGCCTTCCAGAGCTGTGAGTCAAATCAAGAAGTGGATAGGTAAGGTTATATGTGTCAACTGAAGAATGCCCTAGTAAAAGCAAGTTGTTATATAACCTAACTTCAATCTAGTTCATGTTGTTGTAATTTATATACCCAAATAATTAAGTTCTATTGGCCAATGGAATTTTATTGCTCTCCTATGATTTAAAGAGTTAAAAATTTAAAATATACTAATAACTTTTATTTATAAACACTTTTTAAGATAAATGAATAAAATAAAAGTCACATTTATGCAATTTCAGATGCATTGAAACTTATCATGTGGCACTATGTTGTCACCTTGCATATATCAATCTTATTGTCTAATTCATCCCAGCAACAGCAGCATATCACTGCTATTGAGTGAAATGGTGTGCTATATAATTAATAACCCAATACAGAGTGCTCTTTTATCTTTCTCTTACTGTTGTGGTACCATGGATCAAATTTAGGCCTCACACTCATAATCCAGGAAACTTTTGATAGTGAAAGATGGACTTAAAATGATTTAAAATACAGGGACTGGAGCGATAGCACAGAGGGTAGGGCATTTGCCTTGCACTCAGCCAACCCGGGCTCAAGTCCCAACATCCCATATGGTCCCCTAGCACCTCCAGGAGTAATTCCTAAGTGCAGAGCCAGGAGTAACCACTGTGCATCGCTGGGTGTGACCCAAAGAGCAAAGAAATACAAAAAAATAAAATAAAATGATTTAAAATACATTTTATAAATATTTTAGTTATCAGTTAATTTTATTATTCTGGTGATTTAATTAAACATTTTTATTCAAAAATTATTTTTAATTAAATTACTTCTAAAAAGTTGTATATTTATACATAAAAGCAAAACATTCATATGATAATTTTTCTCACTTATATTTTCAAAGTGTCTAAAATTTAAGCAAAATATGCTTTTCTTAGCACACAGTCATGCACTTTAACCATTTTCTTAGACGTATATGTCTCTATCACTATGTCACTGCTATATTTTTTCTGGGTGAGGTAGTTTAGGGCCATCCTAGTGGTGCTCAGTACTTTCTCCTAGCTCTGTGTTCAGGGATCACCCTTAGTGGGACTCACGGATGATCATCTATGGTGTGGGATGGAACCCTGGCCAACCACATGCCAAACAAATGCCTTACCCTCGGTACTATACATCTGCTCCATGTCATAGTTGTCTCCCTGAAAATTACCTTTTAAACCTTATGATATAAAATTATTAACATCAGTTTTTATATCATCAGTCTATTGTTGGAAAATACTTGTCAGGCTAAAGTTCTTAGCTCTGCACTGGGAATTCAGGTTCTTTACATCATTGCAAGAAAGAAACTGAAAGCAGGTGGGAGAAATAAATGATCAGAGTACTTCATTGGAGAAAAAATTTGCATGCAAGAATCAACATGCACTTACTACCTATATATAGTCTAATTATTTTTTAGTAGAGCCAACAAGTTTACTGAAACTAAGAGTGTGCACCTAATGATTCAGAGTGTGGACACATTTTAGAATTACTAGTGCTATTTCTACACACATTTACAGATTATGTGGGTATAGAAAAGATAGACTAGCAAAAGGTAAAATATTCCTGGATTAGCTGAGAAAAGAGAGAAAGTATCAGTCAGATTCTAGCCAGAGTTGGTTGCTTCCAGAGATCTTCATGAGAAAATTTTATAGTTAATTTCATAATTTTATTTTTCAACTTTAATGTAAAATCTAAAATAAAAATACTACTCCAAGATTTGCAATAGTTTTAATAAAGAACCTGCCTTGATGTTATGTTATAGGAAGTTATGTGGAAAAGGATTATTTGCTGAAACTAATCTTATGTTTCTTCCTATACAAAGGAAAATCCAAAATCCAAATTGATTTGGGATCAGTACTACATGTAAATACTGAATCATGATAATAAACCATATTGGATACATTGTTAATGCACACTGACAGTCACTGGATGAATCTGACATGATTGATTTCATGTTTTGTTGTAATACATCTATACTCCTTTTTGTCCAAATAATTTCTAAGAGAAAAACTCTCTATTTTTCTGAAAAGTGTCTGTCATAGAGACAGGCTGGAGGGGCAGGGATAGGGACATTGGTGGTGAAAAATTACACTGGTGAAGAGATGGGTGTTGGAGCATTTTATGACTGAAACCAAATCACGAGCAGGTTTTTTTTAATCTCACAATGATTCGATAAGAAAGGAGGAAAACATTATGATTTAGTATCGATTCTTTACCATATCAGTATTACTATTGAATCATATCATATATATCATATCATAAATCATGATATCACTTTATGTGATTGAGAATCATATAAATAATAATGATTCTTTCTGACTCCACTATTGGAATTCTCAATTAATGTTTTTGTTTGGGAAGACATTAGAAGTATAATAAATTATTACTAACTTCAATGTTGAGCTTTTGAAATATATCGTAAATCTGATCCTTGAATCCTCGACTTAACATTTCATCAGCTTCATCCAGCACAAACATCTTGATGTATTTGGGAGACAGGTATCTCCGGTTAAGCATGTCAAACACACGGCCTGGGGTACCCACAATGATATGGGGAGCTTCCATCTGCAGCTTCTGCACCTCAGCACTCACGTTGGTACCCCCGATGCAGGCGTGGCAGGAGGCACCCATGTAATCTCCTAATGCCATGACCACCTTTTGTATCTGCTGAGCCAACTCTCTAGTTGGTGCCAGCACCAAGGCCTGGGTGGCTTTTAAATCCAGTTCAATTTGCTGCAGAATTGATATGGCAAAAGTGCCCGTTTTCCCAGTCCCAGATTGCGCTTGAGCGATCACATCGTAACCCTTGATACAAGGAAGAATGGCTCGCTGCTGGATGGCAGAGGGTTTCTCAAAATCATAGGCGTAGATGCCACGGAGGAGGGATTCGGAGAGGTTCATGTCATCAAAGCTGTCAACAATTTCATTCCAATTACTCTCGATGACACCTTCGGGCTCCATCCCATCGGGGCCATTGTCTCTGGATCGGGAATCCTGACTCGCAGACATGATCCTTCGATCCTCCAGGCTCAGCGGACCCAGGGACAGAGCTTCTCTGCTTGCTCCCACCACCACAAGTGACAAAGGGATTCTAATCAGGAGCCCCACCCTACCCTGCCCTGTCTGCTTCCATCAACCACCCAGGGATCGAATTGTGCACAGGAGACCCACCCTACCCAGATAAATACCCCACTGGTAGACTTCCACTCTCGACACTACTTCCACTACACAGCCGTCGCCACATTCCAGGACGCTTTCCGGACCCACGTGGCAGCTCCGGCCGAGACCCACGCACAACTGAAGACCCACAGAACAAGATAAGCGGAACTCTCTGAGACCTTGGACTCCAGGCTCAGCGGACCCAGGGACAGAGCTTCTCTGCTTGCTCCCACCACCACAGGTGACAAAGGGATTCTAATCAGGAGCCCCACCCTACCCTGCCCTGTCTGCTTCCATCAACCACCCAGGGATCGAATTGCGCACAGGAGACCCACCCTACCCAGATAAATACCCCACTGGCAGACTTCCACTCTCGACACTACTTCCACTACCCAGCCGTCGCCACACTCCAGGACGCTTTCTGGACCCGACACATCATAAGACACTAAATACCCATCTTCTGGAATTGTCGTACCATATTTGATAGGGTTCAAATATGGTAACACCTACAAGGGTGATTAGAGGTCACCCCAAAAGCCTCTATCCCTCTCGGAAAGACTGGCAAGCTACCGAGAGTATTCCGCCCACACAGAAGAGCCTGGCAAGCTATTCGATATGCCAAAACCAGTAACTACAACTGGTCTCATTCACCTGACCCTGAAGGCTTCACCGACATGGCAGCACTGAGAAGGATGAGAAAGGAGAGGCCGACAAAATCTCAAGGCCGACCTAGGCTGCCACAACGAAGGAAGACAAAAATGATCGTCTGTACTTTCAATGCACGTGCGCTAGCATCAGATGCATCCATCGAGGACCTGATGGTACAAGCGCGAATGATCAAGTACGACATCATTGGTCTGACCGAGACAAGAAGGCACGAATCTCACCATGCTGTTTTCAACACTGGAGAAGAATTGTTCCTCGGAACATGCGATAAAAGAGGTGTTGGAGGCGTCGGTGTCCTTGTCAACACAAACTTGGCCAAGAGCATTGATTCATTCGAATGCCTAACAACCCGAATCGGATGTTTACATTTGAATAGATGTGGCTCACTGCCTGCAGTTTCTATCTTCGTTGTCTACGCACCAACATCTCATTATGATGAAAGAGAAATCGAGAAGTTCTACATGGAGCTAGAGAAGTTCTATAAAGAAGACCACACCTTCTACAAGATCATTGTGGGTGATTTTAATGCCAAGATAGGACCGAGAAGATCAGCTGAAGAACTTCACGTCGGGACCCATGGCCTAGAATGGAACGAACAGGGTGAGAGACTGTCTGAGTTCATCATGTCGACCAAGACCATTCATGGTAACTCACAGTTCCAGAAGGCAGAATCTAAACGATGGACATGGGAGTCTCCCGGTGGATGATTCCACAACGAAATAGACCACATCATATTCAATCGACGGTTTTGCCTGACTGATGTCGCTGTTGTCCCAAAATTTCAAACGGAATCGGACCACCGTCTCCTTCGTGCAAAATTCTACTTCACAGAGCGGGGAGAAAGGGCTGCAAAGTTCAAAAAGAGAACTCCCAGAATGACCACCAACTGGGAATTCTTTGGTACTATTGCGGCAACATGGGAAGATGCCATTGTTGACAACATTGACGGGGAATACGATCGACTGGTTCAGCACCTCCATGAATGTGTGAGGACCGCAAAGAGAGAGATAGCCACAAAAAATCGCCTATCTTCGAAAACTCTTGAGCTAATTCGCCAGCGTGGTTTGGTGCATGCCTCAGGCAACCGCAAGCTAACGTCCGAGCTTGCAAAGCAGTGCAGAGATGCGATCAAGGAAGACCTCAAAGAGAGAAGAGCAGAAGTACTGGTAGATGCGGCAGAAGCCGGGAAAAGTATTCGTAACGCCCGCCTGTCATTCGCCAACTATAAGACCAAGACGACTGCCCTCCGACGTCCTGATGGATCCATCACATCCTCCAGAACGGCAATGGAGAAGATTATCCATGACTTCTACTCAAATCTCTTCGATAGCCATGTCCACTTGCCGACATACCAAATTCCACAGGATGGGTATGTCGTTCCCAATGTTCTCCCCTCCGAAATCCGACACGCCATTTCGTCGGTAAAGAAACAAACAGCACCCGGCCCAGACAAGGTCAGACCTGAACACCTGAAGAACCTGCCGTCAGTACTCATCAATACACTGGCTCGGCTCTTCACTCGCTACCTGTCTGAATGCAAGGTTCCGTCCCAATGGAAAACCAGCAGGACCGTACTACTGTTCAAGAAGGGAGACATCCATGACATTGGCAACTATCGCCCGATCTGCCTATTGTCTGTCATCTACAAGTTGTTCACTCGAGTCATCCTGAATAGGATTGGCAGAGCACTAGATGAAGGACAACCATGCGAGCAAGCAGGGTTCCACAAAGGATTCAGCACCATCGACCATATCCACACGATAACCAAGCTCATTGAGGTTTCTCGGGAGTTCAAGATGCCACTCTGCTTAACGTTCATTGATTTAAAGAAGGCCTTTGATTCTGTTGAGACAGAAGCGGTCATTGAAGCCCTAGCCAATCAGGGAATTCAAGCCCAATACATCAGGATCCTCCGTGAGCTGTATTGCGGATTCACTACCAGGATCTCACCATTCTACAAAGAAGTGATCGTTGTTGTCAAGAGAGGGGTGCGGCAGGGTGATACCATTTCACCAAAACTCTTCAGTGCCACCCTCGAGAACATCATACTACGACTGGAATGGGAAGGAATGGGAGTGAAGATAGATGGTCGGCAACTACACCACCTGCGCTTTGCTGATGACATTGTTTTAATAACACCAAACATCAGCCAAGTGGCATAAATGCTGGCCGACTTTGACCGTGAGTGTGGAAAGGTAGGACTACAGCTGAATCTTACGAAGACAATGTTTATGAGAAACAGCCTTGTTCCTGACGCCCCGTTCGCTCTCAATGGAACGACCATCTCCGAATGCAACAGCTATGTGTACCTAGGTCGAGAGGTCAACATGACAAATGACCTGGCACCCGAGCTGCGCAGGAGGAAGAGAGCGGCTTGGAACGCCTTCAAGAACGTCGAAGAAATAGCTAAGAGGACGAAGAACCTCCGGCTCCTGGCACATCTCTTTGATTCCACTGTTCTTCCTGCATTAACATACGCCTCAGAGTCCTGGGCCCTACGCAAACAAGATGAGAACGCCATTCAGGTCTCCCAAAGAAGAATAGAAAGAGCTATGCTTGGAATATCACGTTTCACTCAAATGAGAGAACGAATCCGTAGTTCTGACATCTGTAGACGATCAAGGATCAGGGATGCTGTCTCATTTGCCAAGGTGTCAAAAATCAGATGGGCTGGTCACGTAATGAGATGTAAAGAGGACCGTTGGACTAGAGCTGTTACTGATTGGATTCCACGGGATGTCAAGAGACCGCGTGGCCGCCCACCTACCAGATGGTCAGACTTCTTCTTCAAGATCATGAACGATCGGTTTGAGGCCCTTCATGTTCCCGGAACGAACAGATGCCATTGGGCTACACTAGCACGAGACAGGGACAAATGGAGACGTTACTGGCGCCCGCTCAAGCAAATCGATGACTAACGGGAAGTTAAGTGATTAAGTGAAAGTGATTAACTTCAATGTTAAATACTCCAGATTCTTTGGCTCTCAAGAAATCGAAATTTGCGTGAAGTTAAACTCTTTATTCAGGTTATGTTTTGTTCGGGGAAGGGAGATTAGTTTGAATGCAGTGGAGAAGGGTGGAGTTCCAACAGAATGACTCCCTTTAGAGGAGTGAAAAGAACATTTTTAAGGTATTAGGGACTGGTGGAAAAGAAGTGAATAGTTCATGCTCCATATGTAACTGTCTGTCCCCTTGAACTAACTACTCTACAGTTACAGTCAATCAATGTCCAGAAGTGCTAGTTACAATTTGGAAAGGAGAGCAACAGTAACACACCAAACCCCATTTAGAATGGGGTTTGGTGTGTTACTGTTGGTGTGTTACTGTGAGGGCTTGTTTGAGCTTCCAATGAAAGGTGATATTGGGGAAGTTTCTATTTAAGAGTTGGGAGAGGAAGGTGATCTTTCTGGTATGCACAAAACTGGATATAAGAAATGGAAGGACATAGGATATAACCATTACTAAAATGTGCAGTATTTGTGGCTGGGATTTTTCTAATGAGAGATAGTATCCCTTAAGTCCTTGTTATACTTCCCCAATTCAGAATAATAACTCCCAGTATGATATGTTTGTAGCCATGATAGTCATATTAGCAAAAATTCCTTATGCTAGCAGGATTTTAATGACCTTTTAAAACATTTTTGACTCAAATGTATCAGATTTTATGTCATCAAAATTTAAAATTTATACTGGCACATTCACTCTATCAATGTATCTTACAAATAATATATTGGCTAGTATTTGATCTTGCCTATAGGAGAAGATATACAAAGATTAAAAATACATGAAGAACAAAAAATCATATTTAGTAGAAATAATTCATTAAAGCTCCATGCAATAGCTTTGAGGTTTATTGAGATGAATTTATTACTTTGATTTGGAGTTCTTGTATAATACTTTAGTTGGATATGGTTGTCATGAAACAAATAATTGATAAATAATTAGAAATAATTCTATAACAAACACTAATAATGAGTAAATTTGACACTAATTTCCAAGTTCTTTCTTTAACTTCCTCTATTATAGGAATAATTAAATGTTATCAACTCCAGCTTTCCTAAAACTCCTGCACTACAGAAGTTTAAATACACATAGAGTTTCTATAAAAGCTTTGTTTTTCTCATAACAAACACTGAGTGAACTAGTATCAAACTTCCCTACAAATGAAATAAACGTTTTCTATTACTTGTATT